AAACAGTGCTTCTTTTTGGGGAAAGCAGTTAAAGCTTTGAGTTTTCAGTTTACTTGCAGTTTTTCCACATTCACATAAAACGCACTTTTTTACTTAAACATTTTTTAAAGTTATATTCTGATGTAATTTTCTCATGTTCTGTATCTACATGCACTTTTAAAATCTGATTTAAAACATTACTGTAGAATTGGAGAAAACACAGAATCCTATATTTATAGTTAATTTGTAGCTCTTTTCCATGAAGATTTGTAGGCTTCTGGCACATTCCGTCAGTATATTAGTTACTCCCTAAATCTCAGCCAGAGAGTCACATTAGCCCCTCTTACTTACATTGGTAACCAAAAATCTTACTGCAGGTATAATTTTGTATTAAAAATGTAAGCGTAGTTGACCTAGAGTTGTTGACCTAGTTGACCTAGAGGGTTGATTGCAGTTTCCAGCTGTTTCAAATATTTAGTTTAAGGCTTACTTATACAATATGTTATTGCATATAACCATTCTTGCTGGCATTCTCTGTATATTCTTATATAGTTATCTTGTATACTTGTCTACTTTCACTAGACTGTCAAGCTCCTTGATCCTAAGGACTGTGTTGTAATAGGTCCTCAGTAGATTTTTGATAAATGGATAGATGAGTAAGTGAATCATTGTTTATGTACATAGTACTTATTTTCTCAGCTGGATTGTAAGTCCCTTGTGGACATTGGATTTTATCCATGTAGTCTCCCGTTGGCCCTGTCATTTTATTGTTCGTTATAAAACCCACTTTTTTACTTAAACATATTTTTTAAAGTTACATTCTGATGTAATTGAGATTATATTGCTAAGCCCTCTCAAAAGGAGTATAGTAGGCAACATCAGTAAAAAGTAGGACTCCTGCTTATTGAGGAATTATTAAGGGTTCCAACATTATATTGACTCATTCAATCCCTATAATAATCTATGAATAAGGAAGTCTTAATTGAAAATTAAGATACAAAGCTTTAGTAACTTTCATAAAGTTTTATACAGCCAGAAAGTAGCTTGTTGAAGAGAAGAACAGGAATTATTTTGGAAACAAATTTTCAGGGATCTACTGCCTTCTCACTTTAGTTCCATGATTGACTAAATGTTTATGTGAACTTCAGGTTTCTAATAAAAGATATAGCTGGTCCTCTATTGGTGGATAGAGGCTTAAAGAACCACCTATTTCAAATGAAGAATATATTGAGTTCCGGTTTCAAAGGAGGAGAGCTATGATTAACAGGAAATGTTCTCTCTTTGGATTACAAAGGAAAAAATTAAGCAATCACACTGTTTCTGTCCATGTTCAGCTAGTTGAGTGCTGGAAACATGCATCGAATACCCACTTGGAACAATGTATAATGCTAAGTGCTATGGAAGACACAAAGTTAAATGAACTGCTGTCCATTCACTGATAAGAGGTGCTACGAAGTCAAGCCAAAGTCTGTCTTAGAATTAGTAGACATTAGTAATAGATAAAACAGGTGTATGATCTCTAGTTGTGAAAAAAGTTCCTGAGTGATTTTTAACTCCAGATTAAATCAACAGTCATTGAATTATTGTATGTGCAGCAGAGTAAAAGAAGAACAAAGAGTTCAGGCGATCGTTGAGGCTACACTGAGCTGTCTTCATGTCTTTGTGATAGAATGCTCTTAACTTTCATCACGTTTGTAGTTTGGCAGGTCTAGAAACTCCATTTTGAAAATGTTTCCAGAGTTAGGCCCAAAGGCAATGACTTCGACTTCCAGACTCAAAAGCATTGGTCATATAAACCACATTGCTTATTTCCTTATGTGGAATCGTCAGGTGTACCAAAGGACTTTCAGCATATTCCTTGTCCTATACAACAACATACATGGCAGTGTTGCTTGGTGAACTCAAAGCAGGATGAGTCGGTTGAATGGATTGGATCATCAAGCTGTCTGTTCCAAGAGGGCTAATTGTCTGGTGATAAATTCTTGCTCTTTGCCCTCCACTCTTCCTACTTTTTCCAACAGACAATAAGTACTTTCCTATCCCAGTCTGCTAGGAACTTTTTCCCCACTATTTCAGATATAATCTCATTAGTTAGGATAGTTTAACTTATGCTCTTAGACTGAACTTGATCATTAGGGTAAGATCAGCCAGGAGGAGAAGATAAAGTATAGCTTTATAAAATAGGTATAGCCCATATATAAGTCCTGCTGTTTCTAGTTTATTCTTTTTTAGAAAATAAACTTTTCAGTTTTTATATATAGGAAAGCATTCTCCTGTATCTCTTAGTTATGCAGATTGATGGAAGTCTTAGATATTTTGATCATTAGACTGTCATTGTGACATAAATATTTTTCTGAAGGTAAGATATCCTGATTGAAGATGACCTAGTATAAAACCTTGTTTCTTGTCATTCCTTGAAGAATAAATTTTTCTGGATAGTTGAGTTTTATAAAGAACTAAGAATTTATAAATTATACTCCTTGAAGGTTATCTTATTGGTCATTGGCAATTATCTTATTGGAATTTCCCGATGGTCACTAATGGTATTGAATATTTTATATTGACTTCAACTATCTACACCAAAATCTATTTTAAATGTACTGAAAATGTCATTTTTTTCTAAAATATACTACATTTCCCCAGCTTCATCAAACAAAAAGTATATTAGGGGTATCTGGATAGCTTGGTCGGTTAAGTGTCCTACTCTTGATTTTGACTCAGGTCATGATCTCACTGTTCCTGAGATTTTGCACCACTTGATCTGGGCTGAGAGCGTATAGCCTGCTTGGGATTCTCTCTCTCCCTGTCTCTCTGCCCCCTCCCCCACTTGTGTACACGTGCTTTCTCTCAAAATAAATAAACCTAAAAATTATATTAAACCTCATTTGTCACTTTTGGAAATAACTTCCGGCTTCAGCATTCCTACTGGTAGTAGCCTCTCTGCTCCTCTAGTTTGCAATTCCTGCTGTGCTTACAAATGTGATGGTGTGATAACTTGTGTTGCTCTGTAAGTGTCAGTGACATGTCTGTGACCTGTTTGGTTGTTCAGAATCAAAATACACATTGTTCTTATCACCGTATTCTTGATAGCTGGGTTGCAGAGCGTTATGCATTTGCTGTTTCTAGAGGGAAAATAGTGGCCTTCTTTGGCTAGCCTCGCAAATCCTGTTGAGAAAGTCATGGCAAACATCACATTCCTCGATAGAATAACCATCTGTTTATGGTCACGTAACAGGTAGTATTCTACTTATTTCTTGAACCAGTTTCTGGAAAGGTGTCAAAGCACTTGAAAGTAAGAGCTATTCCCACATGAAATCTAAATCCAAAATCTTTGAAGATGAATCTTTTATCACCACAAATAAGTTCCTCAAAGTTTTAATCAGATTGTAAATTTATGCATAGTAAAAAATTTCTTACAGTTCTAGCTATGTAGTCTGACTTTGTAATTGCCTTTCTTCTCTCAAAATGGTTTTTAAGTATTATCCATTTGCATCCAGTTATTTACCTGTTCTAAGAGCACTGACAGACTTCTGTCCTATCTTTTCCTTTGCATTTTTGTACAAGTTGCCTTCCATAAGTTGCCTTCCTTGTTTCGGGGCATCCTGTCACCCATCAGTGCCAGGAAACCGTTAGAATTACTTGCTTCACTTTCTCTACAGATGTGGGAGCAGAGGCCCAGCTTTCCTCTAAGCCCATGCTCAAGGTTCTCATGTATTTGCAGACTGTGTTGTCACAAAGTAAAACATTATTTTGAGGAAATTATGCAACGGAACTGAGAAAAGTTAATTATAAATAGACTTGTCATTGGATACCATGAATTTCAAAGCATGATCGGAAAACTGATGAATATGGAATATGTGGCTAATCTACAATCTTGTCACAAATTCCTGGGAAATATGGAAACAAAACACTGCCATTGATTACTCTGTCATCTAAAAAAATTAGATTTATTTTCTCATATGTGGGCTAACCATAGTTATTCAACTGTTCATACATTAAGAACTTAATATTGTGAGATGTTGATATAACTTCCGTAAAGAGATTTTTTAAAGTTGAAGTGCTTTTTACTAGTATCATTGGAAGAGAGTTCTGCAGCCAAAGACATTCTTGGGATTGGAGTTGCTGCCCCAGATACTTGCATGAATATGACTGCTTAATAACAGTACAGTTAACCTGCTGCCTGTGAGCAAGCTATTAAGGATAAGAGGAAAGCTTCTCTAACTCTTTTGGGTATTTCAGAGAACATGTTTTGTACTACTTTGAAGTGTGTTGAAAGTGTAAATGTAGATTTAAAATAAGATTGTCTAATTTGTGTTCTGATCATTTGGCTATTACTTATTTCTCAGTCTAGGATAGATCTTCTGTATATATGAATGGAACCAGCATGTCTAGAAGCAGCCTTCTCTTTGCTGACTTGCTTTGCTGACATATTTGTGTGAGAGCTTTATAGAAAACATAGAATAAGAAATTGTATTATGAAGATAGTGATGTTTCTGTTGGGAAAAAAAAAGAGTTTCACTTTACCTTTCAGGGTAATAGATACTGTAATAAGGCAAATGCATGGTTTGCCCTGTTGAACTTGTGTTTGTTTATAAAAATCCAGAACCAGTAACACTCTAGCTCTTGGCAGTTTCCTGTTTATTAAGTGCCTTTCACTTGTCACTTTGGTATTTATTTTGTAGCACATATTCACTGGCAGTTGAATTAAAAATAGATCCTACACTTTTGAAAGAATTCTCAAGGCAAATGTAATAAAAGGTTATATTTTAATAAAGTGAGGCTCCTTCAATTTTTGTGAGGTTTTGTAATCGAATACATTTTTTTTGGCACAATATAATGTTCATTCTGTTTTTGTCAGGGGAATTTCAGCAATATATGCAGTTAATTTAAAATTCTTAGTACCCATATGTAAACTGTTTAAATCTTTAGTCGCTGAATATGATGAAAAGCATCAGAGATACAGACTAAAGTCTTGATAACTTTGTTAAATCTGAATATAATTTTTCTTTAATTTTTAATAGGATACAACATCCATTGAAAAGATGTCAAACTGTTGTGAAGAAATGTAAGTATAAAAATGAAGTCTGTAATGCTCTTAGTGAAAAATGGAAACAGCTGGCCACATGTGAAAAATGCGTGCATGTAGTGGAAAGATAACATAATGATGGCTTTTTCTTGGTGCCTTGTCCAAGGCCTGAGCTGGACAAGTGTGTCCCAGTCTTACAGTAGGGGTCTTCAAGCCATGATAGTTTTCAAACAAAATAAGTACTGGTCGTTCTTGTTCCTTGTCTAACTAGAGTAAGTTAAATTATTTGTCCCAAAAGTACATCAAAAGAGATTTGCTACTGTGTTGTTGACACACATTCTGTTAATCCTGAGATTCTCCTCTGCTTCAAAAGTTCCCCTAGGTTGATTGACGACACAGATACAATATCTGCTAGCCAGAGTTAAAACTCAGCTGCATGCCATAATGAAAGAAAAGCTGTATTTGTAATGCTGGGACACAATTCATCAGAGTCCAGTAATGGATCCCCAGCCAACCTGCATTGTTTTAGCTGACTGAAGTGCACCATGGGAGTGCTGTCTTTCACTAATAATGCTGTCTTCTGTAGATCGAGGCCCCGAAAGCCATGGCAGCAGACCTTCTCAGAAGTTTTTGGCACTCGTTGGAAGATCCTGTGGTTTATTCCTTTCAGGCAGAGGCAACCACTGCGAGTTCCCTACCACTTTGCCAATCACGTCTAAACAGATGGATGGTGGGCACAGATGGGTCCTCCATGCTGGAAGTGCGTTACAGGTTTTCTGATAATAGAACTATGACAGTCTTCAAGTCAATTAAAATCCACCCACCAATCTTAGGCATCATAATGTGCCCCAGGCTTTATTTTAATAGTGATCTTGATCCTGTTGTGGGACTAATACAAGATCTATATTTAAGTTTTAAAGCATGTTTACTTTCAAATTAGCTTTCCGCAGGGATTTCTTTAAATGCTTTTGTTATTAAACCCAAAAGGCAGTGATTGAGATAAAATAATTGTACATAATTTTTTTAGTACTGACAGTGTTACAGATTTTAATTTATGGCAAATTTCAGATGTTTATTTGAATTTTTTACTCTCAAGCAGTACTCACCAAATCTGAATTTAATTCTTTGGGTTTACAAAGTTGATACACCTTTTATTATATGTAAATCTTCTTTTTCAAATGCATAATAATTTAAATAATACTGCCTTTTATATATGTGCTGCAGGATTTTTTTTAATGCAGTATAGGATTGAACAACAAACAATAAAACAACAAAAACAACAGAAAAAAGGCAGTGTCTTCTTAGAAGTAGCTTTCTAATTTTTCTGTTTTTCTCTTCACCAAAAACAAAATAAAAAGGCCACTAAAATAAAACAACTACCTACCTTATTTTCAAGGAAAGATTAATTTCTTTTCCATATTAACTTTTCCATTTCTTTTCCCTATACTGACGTAATTGTTGGTTATTGTTAAAATAATTGCTCCATGGCGGAATTTTTCACCAAGTGGGCATGTATTCTATTTTACGCTAAGATTTTGATGAGCAAAAAGGGTAGAGAATTTGCAATAATTCCACAGATACCTTTTCTAGTATGGTTATATTAGAATGCATATGTTTTTAAAATGCTAGTATAACTAGATAATATATAATGTACAGTATAAAGAGGAATATTGTGCTTTTGAAAAACAAATATAATATACTTTTTACTTTTATTTGCCTACTAGTAGCTCTGAAATCACACACTCAAGGTTTATATGTAATAGATATTGGCCAACTAAGAGTGAAATTTTATTCATAGGAAGTTGCTAATAAAAGTAAGTAATTTTTGTGTACCTATAATCACCCAAATTGAAACGAAATTTTAATTGGCCAACTATAAATTTGGATTGAGAGACCTTTTGTACTTAGTACCTAATGTTAGGAAATGACCGTAAAATAAGAAAATATAATGATCTATATTTATCGTTAGCTTATACAGATTTAAATTGCTAATGGTGATGGTCTCTTGGAGAGCATAGAAGATTTGTGTGAAAAGACATTTAGCATGCTTTGAAAAAAATTCAGCTTTTACATTTTTTTCCGTTAGAATACTGCAAAATCCATATATCCTTTTCAGTGATTTATGTCCTCACACTCTTTCCCTTGAAGAGAAGATTAAAGCGGTCTTTTGTTCTTGCAACATACCAATATTTTCCTGTTAGTTTTGAGAGTAAGGTGTCAAATCTGAGAAATCATGAAACAGAAGATTTCCATTGTCAGCCAGTTAACTCTACTGTAGTTAGTTCTTTCAGGAATTGTAAATACCTTCTAAAATAATTGAGTAAGCTGTTCTCAGAGATACAAATACCATGTCTTTCATGTTTTGACTGCAGTGCTTTATTATTTAAAAACTTGGAAGTGGCAGATGAAAATATTTATTGGTGCTGATAAGATGCATAGTAAATTTAATATGAGATGTATATTTATAGAGCTTAATGAACCACACAATTAGTATGTTTGTGTCAGGCAGCTGGGTTGGGTTTTGTGCAGGCTAACCTAGGGACCACATTGGTCTGTTGACAGAACTGTTATAGGGAAGTAACGTGTAGATATGTAGATAGATAGCAGTGAAATGCCTTATGCTGTATACATTTCTGTCAAGTGAGAACCTTGAGGAAAAGCAAAACCAACTGTAGACCCCCTAAAGAGCTTCATGGACATATTTATATTTCACATAGTAGCAGTAGTCACTTTGAAAGGTATATACCTGGAGATGTTCATTGCCAGTCTCTGTCTCAGTAACGGGAGCCAGAGGTGGTCCTTTTCCCACTCTGAGGATTCTTGTTTTTCTTAGATTTACCACTTCTGGGCACATTTTCTTCCCTATTTTCTCTTTACCTTCCCTGTCCTGATCCCTCTATCTAGTTCCTCACAATTATTGGGGTACAAACCGATACGCAAAGCAAGGCATGTTTATTTTGTTTGAATGGCAGAGATGCTGTATAACAATCTATGTAAGAATCTATACTAAAGCATATCTATATATACTTATGCGGTAACTTTCAGTATGCTCAAGTTAGCACGCCTAAGTGTGTTTATAATTCTTGAGCAATGACTTGAAAGAAACCAACTGGCAGTTTCCTAGGGAACACATGAAGTCTAGTTGTGTTCTGTCTGCGCCCTCTTTTGGCTAATTGGTGTAATTATACTGGCTCTAGAGATTTACTGCTCCACAGTTCATTGTACAGCCTAATTCTAAACATGCCAGAGGTACAAATTTAGGGGAAGTGTAAGTACAAAAAATGTAAGAGTTTATGAAAATCACTGTGTTCCTGTTTATGTCGGCAATGTCTGGATCATACAGATATGATAACTACTTTGCTTCATCTATGTATATTATTATGCTTTTTTATTGTCAGTTAGAAATTTGTATCAGATCAGGTTAAACAAATGTAAACCATTTCATGAATTTCATTTTAAGCCTTATTTTGGCAAATTAAGTGCTTAGAATTATGAAAGCCATTACCTAAAATTACCAATTCATTACAAAACACAGAAACTTACTGTAGTTAAATTGGCAAGCAGGTATCTAATGTGTTTTAATGAATATCTTAAAAAAATACATTTAGTTTTTTTAATCTCAGTTTTGGAATGATTTTTTTTTACTGGTTCTGTTGCATTAAAATAATAGATTAGTAATTCTTTCTATACTTCATTCTTTTTTTTTTTTTTTAACTCCCATTCAGAATTATAGCTGTAACTTTAGTAGTCATCATATTATGTATTTTGGATAACTGTGAAAATAACTAATGATGTTGAGCCTTAGAAAATAGTTATAAGTAGTGAAATTACTGATATAATCTACTTGCTGGATGAAGTTTTTACATATAAACATTCCACTTTGTTTTAAGCAAAATATATGCTAAAGGATGCTTTACATCAGCAATTCTTAATTGGGCCCCTGGAAGTGAAGGATTTTTAGCTAGATATTCTGAGTTACACCTCTTGAACAGTTATATCTGTTGTTCTCTTCTGTAAACAAAAATGTTTATGGCCCCAAGATTGTAGGCAAAAATAGACTGAGTTCAGAATCCCCCAGACAGCAGGCATCAGTTAAAGAGCTTTTGGTCCTTTGTAACCAAGACTTCTAGTTTAAAAATACGAAGCTAACTGGTGTTCCATTAGAAGAAAAATCCTATTTGGCTTAAGAATTTTATTAACAATATTTAATGTAAGAGATAACCACATTTACAATTTTAGTTAATGCTTTAATCTCTTTTAACAGAAGAAAGCATAGATTACTTTTAGTAGTAATGGAAGTACAGAATGTAAGCCAACATAATGCTCTATGTAATGACTAAGTTAAAACTTCTGTCAGATGGAACACCAGTGAATTTTTGCGAATGCTTAGAGGTATTTTTCTCTAGGATGCTGGCTAATTATAGCTATTCATTATCAGACTTTTTCAAGTCACTTCCATAAAAGTAGTTAGTTGTGAAGGTGTGAGTCACCCAAAAGGATATATTATTTTGGAACGCTAATCATGAAGACTTAGGTTAGGATGACTCTTTGAGCTAGGAAGTGTGAAGTAATGTAGAGTATGACCACACACTTTCCTATGTATTAGACCAAAGGGCAGCTCGTGCGTTCTCACATATGTTGCTATAAAATCGTGTGTGTCCAGCCCTGGTGTACAATGGCATGAATGTTAACAGAGCTAGTCTCTCCCTGGTCTTTTCTCTAGTCTCTAACTACGTCCCTTGTGCTTTATATATGAATAGCTCAAGTTTACTAAACTATTGCTGCTTCATTAAATAAATTTTTAACATCACCTCAAATGTAAGTAGATATACCTAGAATTTATTTGGGAAAGCTTATATGTACAGACATTAAATAATTTACTAATAGATACAAGTTTTAGACTTTTTTTTAACCCAACCTATTCTTGCTTTTGAAAATGTAAGTATTGGCAAATGTAGTCAGTCGTGTACATGTAGTATGTTCTACTTGCTAGTGTTATTAACCATACAATTAACACCTGAATGAGTGTATTATTTAATGTCATTTGTTCTACTCTAAGAATCATCCTCAGATTTTATCTATAAATCAATAATTTCACTATGCTCTGAATTTAGCCATTTTCAATTGAATCCTAAAATATTCTACCGTAGAATGTGAGAAAATAATAGAAGCAAATTATTTAAAGTATTTTGAACCAATGTTGTTTTTTTATGTATCAGCCAGTATTTAGCATTTCTGCTGCCTTTGGGATAATGATGGTTTAATTTCAGGAAAGTGTTTTCTCTGATGTCTTCTTTCATCATCATTCTGCAGTTTTTAACAACAGAATTTACTGCATTTTTGTCTGTTCTTCAGATGTTGTAATACTTCCTGCTAGTGCTAATTAGAAACAGAAATAACAGTGGTATTTACAGTTCTTAAGTTGTTATTACCAGTATTTCCTATTATCATTATACATATTTTTACTATGATATGTCCTTTTCCCTTGTCCACCATAGAGGGCAGATACAAATGAGTTGTGAGTCGCCAAAACTGGAGACCGAGATTAGAGAAACTTCCGAAGATGGGGAGAAAGGTAGTCGGGACATGGATAAGTAGCACCTCAGCAACAGGGCTGACTGGAGATGTCTCTGTGACATCAGGAAATCCCCCAGTTAGAGTCATTTTAGCCTGATCTCTCGTTGATAATCATTTTACTGTAAGAGTTGCTAATGCATGTAAGCTTTTAGCGAGACTTATTTATACTGCTGATTCTCATGAGTTGGCCAGATGCCTTTGAAAAATTATTTTAAATTTTACACATCGTAATCATGTAGCATATGCTAACCTGATGTGTCACGAGTAATGTGAAAGGTGCAGCTATTTAATGCAGAGCGGAAATGAATAGGTTGTCCAAAGTTTGATTGGAAAATCTGGGACCTTTTTGCAAGCCGCCTATTGCAAACAAAGGATACAAAGTATTATAGTAAATTTGCCACCAGAAGGAAAATTAGCAATTTGTGTATAAAGGGTGATTTTCACTTTACAATTTGGGCTATTTTGGAGTTCTTGTACCTCCAAGGTCACCAAATCTTTTGGTATCGTGAACACCTGTTGCAGCTAATGTAGCACTTACCTCAGTTGTTCAGCACTTGGTTGGATCCTTTTGATATCGATAGCTTTATATATAAGCAAAGGTGTGGACAAAACAGCAACACAAAAAGTATATTTCTTTTTGTGGTTTTGCTTGCCTGTTTGACCTAGTACAGGGTTTAATCGGATAGGCTGGTAACTGAAGGGAAAGGTTGTCTGCGTGTCGCCAGCTCTGTGTTCTTGCCAGTGTGCACTGGGTGATCTTTCAGCCTACTGGTGCCTGAAGTTAGTGTTTTACAGCCTCAACAACTAAAACATCCTGGTGCTACTCACTTTAGCATTGAGTGACATTTTTACTTCCTGTACCAAAGAATTATTTATTTAGTTTTTGTGTGTTTTTTTCTTTCTTTCTTTTTTTTTTTTTTTTTTTTTTGTTGACTGGGACTTGGCTTCTCTCATCCTTCTAAACAATGTTCCTAAGAAAATTTTGATGAACACACCTTAGTTTTTGCACACTGCTGCCTCAGTTTAATTGGTTTTAAATGTCTCTCATTTGGACTTTCTTTTAGGCATATTAGTATGGTTTTTCATTCTGTATTTTAATATAGATTGGCTACTTTAAAAGGTAGTTTAATAGGTTGAGGTTACAAAAGATAATTGAACACTTTTCACAAGATTGTATTTTATTTCTGCAAGAATAAATGAAAAATAATAACTCTTTTAGCTGTGCGTCTTATTGAGCCCTTTTAATGAATGCTGAAACAAAGTGCTAAAATGAAAAGTTATAACAGGCTCATTCTGATTACAAATGAAGTATTGTTTATCTGTCTATGTTCGGGTGTGTGTGTGGAGGATGATTTTCCAAATGAAAATAAAATTAAAGAACAACTTAAAAAGTATGTATCTGCACACACACACCACCCACATACACACACAGGCTTCCCAGGAGGAAATGCAATTGTACCTTGATTTAAGCAAAACTACTAACAGAAAATTGAACTTCACAAACACACACACCCAAAAGATGTCTGGATATTGTTACTCGCTTTACATGAAAATTAGAATAAGATTATTTTCAAAACTAATTCTGCTTAGTGATTTGTTTTACCAAATATGGGGAAAAAATGCCCTTTAGAAATACTTGTAATTGTCCAAATGTAGTACTGCTCTCTATGTACTCTCTGCTGGTTCCCTGTTTTTTATTTTTCCACAGATTTTTCAAAACACTTATATAGTGTCCTTAAAACTGCAACTTGAAGTGGTTAAAATTTCTGGCAAGAAGATAACTGTTCATGTATTGGAAAAGTAGACAATCACATTTGAAAATGTTTTACATCATTTTCAGTCAACTGAAATCAAATCTCTCCTTGAATGTAGATACAATATATGGTTTTGCAGTGATTTCTGAATGGAAAAAAAAGAGTCAAGTCTGAAACTTAAATGGAATATGACCTAGGATCATTTGAATTATATATAGAAATAACAGATGTACATGCCATTAGAGGTAAAAGGACAATTTATTTGTAAGCAAAATGGAAAGAAGCAACATTATGTCTCTAATTGTCAACAATATATTTCCTAGATTCTGTTGCTGCAATATTGGTTCTGAGTTATTTGGCTTGTTTATTACTTAAATTTCTGTGGCTGAATGCAATTACTTGTTCAAGTTATTGGTAGTGGAGAGTTCACCACTATTTGTTGTCCTCCCGCGATGAATATTAAAAAGAAGTTCTACTTTAGGTAGAATGAAACAACTATGATGATCCACTAGGAAGACTTCCTCCACAATCAGAGAAGTAAGTTGCGAATCTAAGGGGGCGGGGGGGGGGCACCTTAGCCTTTGGGAGGCCTGAGCACAGACAACCATGCTTGTGTGAGCTGTGTGTCAACAGAGTAGTCTTTTTAAAAATATGACTGGTGAGCTTAATGAATGGGCAAAATCTGTGATATTTTGGGGTCTCCTAAAATTTTGTGTCAACCTCAAACTGTGTCTAATGTTATATCCTTAAAATAAAAGACTTTGAATAGTGGTATGTTCCAAGTGCCATGTAAGGATCCTGTTTTCGAATGTGTCAGGCATGTTTTCTTAAATCTGAGTGCTGCTTGGCTGCATTGTCTGTTTAACCTTGTCTGGTCCCTCAAGAGCATTTAAAGAAAATCTTCAGTAACATTTCTAGTGCTGATGGTAACAGGGAAAATAATGGTTGAGAGATTGGAGGCCAGACTTAAAAGAGGGAAGAAGATGACAAGTAGGAGCCATGTATCTGAGATACACTTGTTTAAATGAAAGATCTACACTGGTTCTTAAAATGAAAAACCATGTATCTACCTTAAGAACAATGTTTTGTGTGTTTTTTTTAATTTATTTTAGTGATTTAGTTTTTATTCCTGCAATATTTGTTTTCCTTTGCAGATGGTTTTTAATTTAAATTGTGGAATTTTTACTTCTCTTGAAATGTATTATGTACTGTATTTTTAGAAATCTTATTTTTAAATAAATATTTTTCAAAAACAAAGGACTGTCTTTCTCCCCCCACCTCTTTATTTATTAACATCAACCCAGACTCTAGATTTCAGCACCAAGAGGTGATAGGCCACTTTTTTTAGTTTTATGTGATTTGGATGGTGATTCATAATGAGTAGCCTTTTGAGGACATTGTTCTACCATAATCTCAAATTCATCACACATCAAGAAGAACTAGGTACACATACTAGGGTTGACTGACAAACACAGTATTCCCAGTCACACATTTTTGTCTTGGAGATGACCCATATGGCTAGATTCTGTCATCCAATTTATTTACCATTTATTGTGCCAGACACTATTTTATAGGATTTTTTTTTCCTTTGAGGAATAATTTACATAAAATGCAGAACATTTCAGGTATACATCCAGACATTTTAGAGCTAGGGATATTGAAATACTCAAGGCCTTTGTTCTCATGGACTTATATCCTAAGAGTTTCTGGATAGCTTTTTATTGACAAATTTCCTAAGTTTCAACTAACCGCTTTACTTGCCCAAGTAAGAAGTCGCAAAGGAAAAGTATATTAGTGAATATAAATTGGTCAAAGATACCATCTGAAAAGACAAATCGGTACATCTTAGAAACCGTGAAGGACTGTAAACTGCCCTGAGATGGGAAGATACAGGCTTAACTTTATTTTTAAAATTCTTAGGTTTTTATCAGAAAAATTACATGGATAAATATCCTGGGTTACCACTTAAATGACTCAGTAGAATGCAGATAAAACTACAAACCTTACTGCATTGGTGAATGAAAGCAAATTGGGTCTCATTCTGACAAACAAGGGTTTTGAAGATTTAATCTTGTTTCATTTTCAGTTTCCTTTGCTCTGATTCTAAGCAACATTTACGGTAGTTATACTTCTTGAGTGATGATCAGTTACAACGATTCTATATCTCTTTGTTCATAGGACTCCTTTACATTCTTAAGAATTACTGCAGGCACCAAAGAGGTTTTGCTTATGTAGGTTATCTTAATTACTATTGGCTGTATTAAAAATTAAAGCTGAGAAGTATTTTATTTTATTATTTATTTATTTATTTATTTTTTACAAATAGTTTATTGTCAAATTAGTTTCCACATAACACTCAGTGCTCATCCCCACAAGTGTCCTCCTCCATGCCCATCCCCCCTCCCCCCACATCCATCAGTCCTCAGTTTTTGTCAGCATTCAAGAGTCTCTGGAAGTATTTTAAATGCTTATTCATTGGAATAACAATAAGCTGATTGCATGTTAACATAGGTAATGTATTTTTATTTAGAGACTCATGAGTTTATATTTTTTGCAAAGTTCTAATATCTGCCATCATAAAAGAGATTTGAAATCTTATACTGTTCCTGCATTCAATCCGTTGCATTGTTATTTTGGTTGAAGTATCTAGAGAAATCTGGCCTTATGCAAATAGCATAGTTGTGAAAACGAATGTTTCAATATTTTCAAGTGGCTGTTCATATTCTTTGATACTACACAGAAACTCACCAAGTGTTGGTTCCCTGAACTTTACTTGTAATGAGGAACCAGAAACAATACCAAGAAACTTTTGTTAAAGTTTTTATTTAATTCCAGTTAACATACAATGTAATACTAGTTTCAAGTGTACAATATAGTGATTGAACACTTCCATACAACACACCCTGTTCATCACAAGTGAACTCCCTGATCCCCATCACCTATTTAACCCATACCCCCACCCCCACCAACCCTCTGGTAACCAGCAATGTATTCTCTATAGTTAAGAGTCTGCTTCTTGATTTGTCTCTCTTGTTCATTTGTTTCTTAAAATCATAAGGTATTTGTCTTTCTCTGACTGACTTGTTTCACTTAGCATTGTACTCTTTAGCTCCATCCATGTCATCAAAAATGGCAAGATTTCATTCTTTTTATAGCTGAATAATATTCCATATATATTATTACGGAATAATATTACATATACATACATACCACATCTTCTTTTTAAAGTTTCTTTATTTTGAGAGAGAGAGAACAGGGGAAGGACAGAGAGAGGGAGAAATAGAATCCCAAGAAGGCTCTGTGCTGTCAGCAAGGAGCCCAAAGTAGGGCTTGAACTCACAAACCACGAGGTCATGATCTGAGCTGAGATGAAGAGTTGGATGCTTAGCTGACTAAGCCACCCAGTTGCCCCTATACTACCTCTTTATCCGTTCACTAGTCAGTGGACACTTGAGCTGCTTCCATATCTTAGTTATTGTAAATAATGCGGTTATAAACGGGTGCGTGGATCCCTTTGAATTAGTGCTCTTCTATTTTTTCAGTAAATACCTGGTAGTAGGATTATTGGACCTTAGTGTAGTTCAATTTTAATTTTCTGAGGAACTTTCATAGCTTTTCCACAGTGACTGCAGCAGTTTGCATTCCCACCCAACAGTGCAAGAAGGCTCCTTTTTCTCCACATCTTGCCAACGCCTGTTGTTTTTTGTGTTGTTGATTTTTGCCATTCTGACAGATGTGAAGTGATATCTCATTGTAGTTTTGATTTGCATTTCCCTGATGATAAGTGATGATGCGCATCTTTTCATGTGTGTTGGCTATCTGTGTCTTCTTTGGAGAAATGTCTGTTCATGTCTTCTATCCATTTTTAATTGGATAATTTGTTTTTTGAGTGTTGAGGTTTAGAAGTCCTTTATGTACTTTGGATACTAATCCTTTATCAGGATGTCATTTGCAAATATTTTCTACCATTCTGTAGGTTGCCTTTTAGCTTTGTTGATTATTTCCTTTGCTGTGCAGAAGCTTTTTATTGTGATGAAGTCCCAATAGTTCATTTATGTTTGTGTATCCGTGGCTCAGGAGACATAGTTAGAAAAATGTTGCTATGGCTCATGTCAGAGAAGTTACTGCCTGTACTCTCTTTCAGGATTTTTATGGCTTCAGGCCTCACATTTTAGGTCTTTCATCCATTTTGAATTGTGTATGGTGTCAGAAAGTGGTCCAGTTTCATTCTTCTGCAAATTGCTGTCCACTTTTTCCACCACCATTTATTGAAGAGGCCGTCTTTTTCCGGTAGGATATTCTTTCCTGCTTTGTTGAATATTAATTGACCATATAATAGTGGCTTTATTTCTGAGTTTTCTGTTCTGTTCTATTGATCTATGTGTCTTTTTCTGTGTTAGTACCATACTAACAAAAGTCGGACGCTCAACCGACTAAGCCACCCAGGCGCCCCTCTCTTGCTTTCTAAGCCAATTGCTATGGGGACTCATTTTTTCCATGCACTCCCCTGTATGTCATTCTGTCTCTTGCCCTTCTCCATAACCACAGCTACCTCCCTACCACAGCAGCCACAGTCTGTTTCTCTCTCAAATCAAGTCTCTGCATTTTCTACCTTCTTCATTGTGGCCTGTTCTTTACCTTTAGTTGTGGAGTTTGTTCTGCCAGTCTTCCGACTGATGATCTGGGGTATTTGGGATGATTTGATAATTAACCTAGTTGTATTCATTGGAGGAAGCAAGCTAGGGTCCTCCTACTACAGCATGACCTTTTGGACTCTCCCCAAAGAACTTTTGGTATTTTGTTACATTAAAATCCATTGGTCTCTTTTTTCCCTTTGGAAAGTTATCTCAATTCCTACATGATTTTGTGACAGCATTCATTGGTCATTTGGAAAATATTGGAATAATGCAAATCTTCGAGTGTTGATAAATTTAATTCTATAAAATTAAATTTGATCAAATTAAAAATTTAAAAACTTAATATTACTACCGATCTTGTTAGAAAAGTTAAGTACTGGAAAGCTGTTAAACTCATAACACGTTACATTTTTCAAAATTCTAGTTTTTACTTAAAAACTTGAATTTTATCATTGGTAACCACATATTGTCAGTTTTCCTTGAGGTGACAGGATCACTTCCCTTATTTTTGAAAATTTTTTTTCAGATACCTACATCTGAAAACCCATAATTTGTCAGTTACTCTTTCAAGTAAAAAAATAGTGTTCCATGAAAAACATGGCTAGTTTAGGAAACTCAAACAGGTACACCCGTGCTTTCCCTCAAGAATAACAATCATACTTGGGAATGCAGATGAAATTCTTTATGTACTGTACTTCCCATATTGTCAAACAGAGTATTAGAAAAGTACTCTAATATCAAGATTTACTTTTATTTTTTAACTTTTTTCCAGCTTTATTGAACTATAATTGATAAATAAAAGTTTCATATATTTAGGTTGTGCAATGTGATGTTTTATATATATGCAATGTGCAATTATATATATATATATATAATTTACTATACATAGTGAAATGATTACAAAACCAAGCTAATTAACATACCTATCACTGAACTCATGTCCTATAGGGCTAATGAAGTTGAAACTAACAAAAGATTTAAGCATTATTTTTCAAAAAACTGTTACCCCATTCAGCTATTGTGCCTGATTCACCCAATCAGCTATTTCAGACCCACAAACATTCACTAGCTATCTCTGAAGAAGCATGGACTGAAAGTCAACTTATATGGTTTCAGCCTGTGAACAAGCAAGTCCCAAGTAAAGCATTACTTCCCAGACATAACAAGCTTAAGATCCCATCTGGTTTTTTTCAATATAATTTATTGTCAAATTGGCTAACATACAGTGTGCAAAGTATGCTTTTGCATTTTGAGGTAGATTTCTGTGGTTCATCACTTGCTTACAATACCCAGTGCTCATCCAAACAAGTGCCCTCCTCAATTCTTATCACCCATTACCCCCCCACCAACACCCCCTCAGTCACCCTCAGTTTGTTCTCCTATTTAAGAGTCTCTTATGGTTTGCCTCCCTCCCTATCTGTTTGTAACTAATTTTCCCTTTCCTTTCCCCGATGGTCTTCTGTTAAGTTTCCAAAGATCCAAATATGAGTGAAAACATATGGTATCTTTTCT